TTTTTATTTATTTATTGAGAGATTTTTAACTATTTCAATTTTAAAAAATTATTTTGACTATAATTTGTTTTATGTTAGTGAATATACACTAAGGTTCTATTTGTTTCGACATAAAATATTTTAACAATATATATATATTTTTGCTTTTCAGTGTTTAGTTGACATTTGAAACAAAAATATTTTAATGTCTAAAAGAGAAATTTTAATATCATTTATGACTTTTTAATGAATTGAGATACTTATTTGAAAATGTTAAATGTGTTGAAAAAATAACAAGTTACGAAATTTTTAAAAATAAGTTATTTTCTAAAAAATAATATAAAAATATTTTTTTTAAAAAAATCTTATTTTTTGTTTAACTAAATAATAAAATATTTATAAAAAATATTTTACAAAAAAACAAACACGGAAACGTTCTTCTACCCAGCACTATGCCCCAGTCGAATCTCTTTCTAATTCATCAAAATGAAAACAACCAAAATGTTTGCTTGACACAGGGTCAAGCTAAGCATGTCTATCAACGACTTACAAGGTTACGACCTAACCGTAATCACTGCTAACCGGTCTCCCTCTACGCGACTTGGGTGATGTCTCACTTAACCTAACAACTGTAAAATTAACTTCCAAAATGACATATGGCGTGGACTTCCAAAGTGGTATATGGTAGGGACCATAGAAGAAGCGCCACCCATAACATTAAGGTATTGTTTGACATAAATTAAATAGGATGCAGCTTACCTCCAGTTTGAGATCGGATTGAACAATATTGTTTGGTTTGTAGGGGCTCATAACGGGTCTCTTTTTGATAATTTAAACCGTTCAATGTGTATAATTCATTGAGTATTATATGACTATAAAAAATCACGTTGATCAGATATCGATAACTATGTGATCAAATTAGTTTTGTATAAAAAAAAAATAGATGGTGAACAAATTAACGGTTGACGAAAAAATTGATCCAATGAGATAGCTATTGATATCCGATCAACTCAATTTTTTACAAACATATAGTAATCGACGAGTTTTATATATTAAATGGCTAGGATTATTAAAACGGGACTCGTGGTGGGTCCCATGGCCAAACAGCAACATCCAATCCGATCTCGAACTAGAGGCAAGCTGCTCCCAATTAAATAAATATATTTATTTTGGATCATATCACATTTCTATTTTTTTATATCTTTTTATAAAAAATTAAAAAAAATATATATTTATTTAAATCGTTCTAAACAACCTCTTAAAAAATAAGAGAAGAGAGGGTTGAGTCAGTAGTGACTCTTCTTTTGGCAGAGGTTAAAATGAGTTCTTTTGGCTTTTAAACTTTTTTAGGTTATATCACCTTTCTATTTTTTCACATGTTTTTTTTAAAAAAAAAAATCAAAAAAAAAAATTTAAAAAAAACTAATTTTTAACCTATTTCTCAAAACAATTTTGAGTAACTAGTTTGGAGCTTTGTAATTTGGAAAACAAGTGAAAATCCATGCATGGATATAAAAAAAATTAATAAAATATTTTTATATAAAATAATATAAATATTTAGATTTTTGTATGTTAATTACAAAAAAATATTGAAACTTACAATTTAAGTCTCACAATTTATGTATTAATTTTTAATTTATCACAACTTTAATTATATAACTTTCAACCCCTTTAATAGAGTTATAAACTTTGGCGAGTTCAACCCAAGTAACTTGATTTAACCTTGAAATTTTTACAAAATTAGACAACATAATTTTTAATTCGGTGAATACCTATGTAAAATTCAAAAATTTGAATAGATTTGGATAGAGACACCAAATAACTTGAGTAATTGAAACACAATTATATATATAAATATATAAAATTATTTGTTAATTTATTTTTGAATAATAAATAAGATTAATTAAAATTTTAATATTAATGAACAAAAGCAAAAGCATTTTATTTAAGCCTGCGTTTGGCATAAGATCAAATAGGGCTTTTAGCTAGTCACAAAAAGACAAAAAAGATTTTTTAGCCTAATAAAATAAAATGTCACATCCAAATCATAATCATTTCATTTTTTTTTCTCACAAAAGTCAAAAAAATTCAAAATGCCTATCACAAACGAGGCTTTTTAACTCCATGCTTAAATATCCAAAAAGTCAAAAAACCAAAAGCCAATCCACATCCCAAACGAATCCTTAAGTCTTTTCAATAGATTTTTTTTTTTTTTTTTATGTTTAAAAAATACACTTTTTAAAAAGGGATCACCGATTAAGTTGATATTAAAAACAATTATATTTTATAATGGCATAAAATAATTTAAATATAATAAAATGAAATTTCTTGGAAAATAAAAGTATCTGATAAAAAAAAGAGAGGAACATTTAGAATGGTATTCTCTTTTAATTTGAAAATAATTCTAGATGACCAATAAATTATCACTTATAACCCTCATTTTTTTTGTTAATAAAAAAAATATTTCACGAATCATCACTTTTAATAGAAAATAATATTTATTTCTATTTGTTTTAACAAAAGTCACTGTTTAGCAATTTGAGCAAAAAAAGTTTCATTTTTTTTTTTAAAAATTTTAGTTTGCTTAATTGACAATTGAGATTAAGAAAAATGATTTACCATGTTTCGCAAGTGTTAAAAAAGTCTAGGTGAATGATAAAGAAAATGTTTAAGACCCACAAAAAATATCAACAATTGTACCCACAATGATGTAATATCATATGTATCAACTTTTAAGTTGTTATACACTCAATGACATAGGGTCTAACTCCCTTGCCACTTCACTATGAGTGAAAATGTGGGTCTGTAGCATTACTTGAACAATAAATTATTGCATTCCTATATGTTTTTGTTATATATAAAAAAAAACAGTTTCCCCAATCATCACTTTTAATAGAAAAGTAATGTTTGTTTCTATTTGGTTTTAGCAAAAGTTTTATTTTAATTTGTTTAATTGACAATTGAGATAAAAAAAAATATTTAACAGAATCTATCATATTTGGCAAGTGTTAAAAAAATATTTGTATTAAAAAAATTCATTATTCAAGTCCTTATAGTTTAGAATGATATATATATATATATATATATATAAAATATAATTTAAAACCAAAAATGACAAAAAAAGAAAAGAAAAGGGTGAAACATTAATAAATCCTAAAACATGATCTTGTGAACTATTTTGTCCTTTTTTTTTCTTATGAACCCAAAGGTCTCATTAAGGTGAAAATTACATAAAAAATGATAGTCACTTACATATTTGGGTTTAATCTTTTAGGGATAAAAGTGAGTTCTTCAAAATGTAAAATTACACATTTGAGCAATATGCACTATAAAAGTTTTGAATTTTCCCTCATTCTAGAACAAATCTCACATTACGAACAAAAATCTAACACTCTATTGTAACACTTTAATAACGTAACATTTCAATGTAACACAATAAAAAACTCTTTGGTGTACTTTTCCCAAACGTATCAACGTAACACTAAATAAATAAATTTCCTTGGTGTACTTTTCCCAAACATAACACTTCAACCAGTATAATTCCAAACGTAACACTCTAATGTAACATACTCCAATGTAACACACAAAAAAACTAAAAAAACCTTCTTATTGTACTTTTTCTAAATGTAACACTCACAGCTTGAAAATTATATTTGTCCAAAACTTACTAAGGAATATTTGTACTCATTTTGGAAAGGTTTGAAGAATCTCACATTTTTTTTTTGGTGGTTATATTGGAGAGTTACGTTTGGGAAAAATATGTCAAAGAGTTTTTTTTGTGTGTTACATAGTGTTTTTAGAGTATTATATTAGAGTGTTACATTTGGAAAAAGTACACTAAGAAATTTTTATGTGTGTTACATTAGAGTGTTACACTAAAAAGTCTTTGTGTGTATTATATTAGAGTATTACAGTAAGAAGTTTTTTTTAGAGTGTTATATTAGAGTGTTTCTTTTGGGAAAAATACACTAATGAGTTTTTTTGTGTGTTACATTAGAGTGTTACACTAAAGAACTTTTTTTGTGTAACATTAGAGCATTACACTAAGGAGTTTTTTCGGAGTGTTACGTTTGGAAAAAATACAGTAAAGAGTTTTTTTATGTGTTACATTAGGGTATTGTACTAAGATTTTTTTTTTTCGAGTGTTACATTAGAGTGTTATATTGGAGTGTATTACAGTTTAAAATTATACATGTGGCCAAAACTTATCAAATAGTTTTTGTACTCCTTTTGAAAATTGGAAAAATCTCATATTCTTTTGGAATGTTTGAAGAATCCCATATTTTAAGTCATTTTTATATTTCTTTTGAAATTTTTTCAGATAAAAAATATTTTTATATAAAAATTCATCCCAAATTTGATTCCCATAAATTGTATAACTTACCTTTCTAGCACAAAAGAAAAAAAGAGAAAGAACATAATAGAAATAAGGGTATAACCGTAAAACTAATTTTAAAATAATATATTAAATTTATTTTTCCAAAATCAATGGGACTAATTGGTCTATAAGAAAATCCTTAAAACTAAATGGATCACCATTCCTCAAGATAGAATTTATAGGTAATGCTTCCTTAAAATTAAGTATAAAAGTATCATATATTTGTAATATATTTGTTAAATAGTTTATATATATATATATATGCATACATAGATATGTACATAACTAATTCAATTAAAATTATTATATATATATTTACGCTATATTTTATATGATGATAAAATTAATATTATTCTTTTGTAATGCATACATTGTAACTTATTCTAAAGTAATACTAGGATGGGTGACCCCTTGAGAAGTCCTTGTGTTGCACCCCTTTTGGCCACTTTTTTTTCCCCCTTCTTTCTTTCTCTCTCTCTTCACCTTTCTTCGAACAACCTGTCCGATTTTTAGCCAATTCAATCGCCTTCCCCTTCCATTCGAAAAATTTCTCGCTTTTAAACTATTTACAGATTATCCTCTTCCATTCAATTTCATTTTTTGTCCATCTACTTCTTAAAATAATAAAGACGTGGTTAATCTTCAGTGCGATCATACCAGCACAAATGCACTGGATTCCATCAGAACTTCGCAGTTAAGCGTACTTGGGTGAGAATAGTACTAGGATGGGTGACCCCCTGGGAAGTCCTTGTATTGCACCCTCTCGTGTTGCATCCCTTTTGGCTTTTTTTTTTTTTTTCCCCTTCTTTCTTTCTTTCTCTCTTCACCTTTCTCCGAACAACTTGTCTGATTTTTAGCCAATTCAATCGCTTTCCCCTTCCTTTCGACAAAATTTTCACTTTTAAACCATTTCCAGATTATCCTCTTCTATTCAATTTCATTTTTTGTCCGTTTATTGCTTAAAACAATAAAGACGCAGTTAATCTTCGGGTGCGATCATACTAGCACTAATACACTGGATCCCATTAGAACTCTTTAGTTAAGCGTGCTTGGGGGAGAGTAATACTAGGATGGGTGACTCCTTAGAAAGTCCTCGTGTTGCACCTCTTTTGCCTTTTTTTTTAATTTTAATTTTTAATAATATATATAGACATATATATATTAATTAATTTAATTTTATAAAATATTATTTTAAAAAAAAATTAACCCATGCATCGTATGGGTTAACTATTAGTTTATACTTATATTCTTATGTTGATATTGTTCATAAAATTAATAATGATAATAATATTTGAGAGAAGAACAGTTGAATATAATAAATGATGTACATTCACTATATGAGTGAGTATGGTCCAGTTTAGATCGGTTTGGGATGAAATTAGAATCAATTAATTATTTATAGTTCTATAAAAATTGGAACTAAATCAAACTATTAAAATTATGAAACTAATCCAAACCAAATTATTTAAACACGGTTCGGTTTGAAACCATAGTGTCACATAATCAGTTCACAAGAAAAATCATATAATATTTAACAAAAAAATTTAACTTATCATAAATTATAAAAATAATAATAACAAGCCCATCAAATAAACTACTTTCGTAATATTTCACCAGTTAAGTGAAACCATAACATTAAACAAATATTGTTCAATATAAATCTGTCATAATTTTTTGAAATATAAACTTTCAAAATATAAACATGCACATTATTCTACTATTAACTTAAATAAACATAATATCTAGCAAATAAATATATATGGTTTAAGTTATACCATCTAATTCGGTTCAAATATGGAATCATGGATCTAAATCCCTAACCAATCCACAAAGAACGGTTCCTTAATTTTCCAAATCAAGATCGAACCACAAATTAAAAAAATCAAACCAAACTTACTAAATTGATTTGGATCGGTTCAATTTACGAACTTTTTGGTAAGCTTCTCGGTCTAGTGGAAATACATAGCTTTCGTACATATGAGATGTCGTGTTCAATTCTTCTGGTTGCATTTTGTCGACGCCTAGACTAGGCTTACAGCTCCAGTTCGTTGGGTTTTACCACTTTAATTCTTAATATGATTTTTCAATTAAAATGGGTTAAACATTTGGTTTTGTGGGTATTGATTTCCGACCATACAACCAAACAGGGAACTTAGTTAGAAAGCACGCAACAGAATAAATTAAGCCAACCACCTGCCAACAAGAAAATGAGAATAGCGCGTGGTTCGTCCACTAGGGGGCACTCTGACGATCAAGTCAGTCAAACAATCTCTCAAAGATATCACACAAGTACTCAACGAACAAATTAAAGCATACCTTAGGCCCATGAGAGTACCTCACTTTTATAGCCAGTAGTGACCTAGTCCTCTAGAAGTCTCACTTCATAGGACTTAAGCACCATGCTTACCTCGGACTCTCAACTAGATAGAGATAAACTCTTTAAGAGCCTTATCCTTATCCAGACTAGGAGCTTCCTCTTATCTAGGACTCTTGTCCTCTATCCAGATATCCCATAATCTTGATATTACCACATCGAACCTCGGCAATACTGTGATTATCTCAACAATTATGACTCACCCATGTGGCACCTTAGCCGACATCTTGGAGCCACCTCGGCCACGTGGCGTCATTCACAAAATACTTCTCCACAATTGCCCCCTAAGTTCTATTACCTCGGCAACCTGAGGTAATGGAACCTATAAATGTACTTTTTCGATTAAGATCATGACTTGTCAACTTTAGGTAACTAGGACTCAAATGCCACCTTTATCAAGAATCAAGAACGAAGTTCTTTCAACATCTTATCCGAGATCGCTTCTCTAGCCGAGGTCATTACCCCACTAGTTCCAGAATTCCAAGAATCTCAACTGCGCATGAGCTGTCATGCTCCATTGCCCCAACCTTTTCTTCCACGTGTCATCGCCTTATTAGTTCATACCTATCACGCGTCATCAAGCCACATCAATTCTACCCAGACCGTCTGTTAGGCACGTCGTCCGTAACGCCCCGAAATAATTACTAAGCTATCCCCAATATTGATTACATACAACACTTGATAAGGTAATTATCCTCTATTAGACCTAATCACTTTTACAGAAGAGTAACATATGTAGGTATACATTCACAAGCTTAATCTTGAACCTATAGCATATGTTATATAATAAGGAAATATGATGAAAGTTAAACAACAAAAATGGATTTTAATCCAATACAGTTAAAGTCCTTAGCTTGTACAAAAATAAGCATAATAAATACAAAAGATGAAGCTCTTGCTCCAAGTCCTCCCAAAACTATTGCCTTGGTGGAGGCATGTCATCAGCACCTGAAAATGTTTTTCTCATATAGGGTGAGCCAAAACCCAGTAGAAATAATACAACACAGTATATGAATCTTAACAAAGATATAAAGTGAACACACATGCAATGCTCATACCAAAACATTTTATATCTCCTTCTAAAATCATGCAATGCCAGGTTAATATCATAATTCATAAATCATTTCCTTTACAATAAAAAACAAGACGGTGAATCACACTCTTGGAATCTCAAAACAAATCAACTTTTCATGGAAATTTCATCCGCGGGGAACCGTAAACCGACACCCATGTAAACGTAGGCTATACAACCACTACTATTGCCATTTCACAGAAATTTCATCCGCGGGATCGGCACCTATATATACGTGTGATTTTGAGGACTTTCACCATGGACACTTAGGCCAACTTATTTCAACGAGACAACATATACCTCCCAGATACACCCCTTTTCTCAAAACGATAAACATCTCGAATGTATAAATATGAAATAATGTTCAATGCAAATGGATAAGACAATAGTTTCAATTCTCCTAATTCTTATGCAATTTCCACTACTTATTTCAACGAGACAACATATACCTCCCAGATTCACCCTTTTTCTCAAAACGATAAACATCTCGAATGTATAAATATGAAATAATGCTCAATGAAAATGGATGAGAGAATAGTTTCAATTCTCCTAATTCTCATGCAATTTCCACAACAATCATAGTTATCCTCAATCGATAGCCCAAAACAGATATCTCTAAACATATAAACAATTTCCAAAAAGAATAGGCTTTCGAAGTTTCAAGATATAAGTGATAATACATATCCAGCTCTACCATCCTCATCAATATCAACCCAATTCACATTTCCAACATCAATTCATTATTTATATAAAATCAACATTTGAGACATTTAGGGCAAAATCCCATTTTGTTCCAAAATCAATCCCAAGTATCAAAATCAACTACTTCATCACAACTCAACTTTATTTTCAACACCACAATCATTTACAAGAATCCATTTCAAACCCCTCTTTTGATCTTTAACCCAAAACCCTAGATTTGTTTCAAAAATCCCCTAAAATCACAATATTGTTTAGAAATAGTAAATAACTAAGTTAAAACTCATAGAAAGAGCGAAGAATCCCTACCTCAAGCTTAGAAGACGAGAGAGAGAGAGAGAGAGAGAGAGAGAGAGAGAGAGAGAGAGAGAGACTGAAGGAAACTCAAAGACACTGAAAATCAACTTTGCTCCGATTAGAACAAAGCCTTCGTCGAGCTCTACCTTTTTAACAAAGGGACATGGGTGAAAAGGTCAACGAATCTAGGTATATTTGAGTGAAATAGATGAGTTTTAGAGAGAGAGAGTGAGAGAAAATAGGGTTTTGAAATGTTTAGAGAGGGAGAGGTGAAAAAGTGACTCAGGAAAGTGACTTTACGAATTGATATACGCACAGACCGCTCGAGCGCAAGAAGTGTCGTTTGAGCAACCAGAGACAATAAGTTGCACCGCTCGAGCGCAAGAAGTTTCACTTGAGCAAAGAATACTAACTCTTAGAAGTTTTACAAACAAGCGGTAAGTGTCGCTCGAGCGAATAAGCAAAATTCTAGGCACCAACAGTTTGAAAAACAAGCTACCAACTTGTTCCAAACGCAACCAACACATCTCAATGGCCAAACTCAAAGATAAATAAAGGGAAACAAGACAAGAACAACTATATAAGGCAATGAAACCTGGATCCAAAACATAGAATGGGTTGGGTCTAAACCAGAGTCGCTATAACTTTCCACTTTAAGGAATTTCGTCTCGAAAATTTTAAACCAAACATGAAAACCATGTTTAAACCAATTACAACAATGATAATAGTTCAAATTCATTACCATGACCCATCCACCGGTCATCTATTCTCATCAACGTGATAAATGAGTTTTCAATATTGAATATACAATTCACATTTCCAGAACATATACAATGTTTGTATTACATGAACATAACAAAGTTTTCAACACATGTTCAAACATCAATAAATAGGTCCAGATATTTTCCACGGACTTCCGCCTCACTCTCCCAAGTGACCTCCTCAACCCCGTGGTGTCACCACAACACTTTTACCAAAGGAATCGTCTTGCCTCACAAGACTTGGTCTCGAGTATCTAAAACTCTAACCAGTCTCTCCTCATATGAGGCACCGTTGTCTACCTCTAAATCCATCTAACTATGATGGATTCAGCTCATACTTCCAAAGCATCCAGATATGAAACACGTCATGAACCCCGGAAAGCTGTGGCGACAAGGCCAAACAATAAGCTACCTCCCCAATCCGCTCTAGGATCTCAAAAGGCCCAATAAACCTAGGAGACAACTTCTCGCTCTTCCCAAACCTCATCAAACCCCGTCTAGGTGATATCTTCAAGAAGACATGATCTCTTACCTCAAATGACAGCGCTCTCCTCCTACG